AGAAAACTATGTTCAGTAGCTGTCAACATCTGAAACTTCCATGACGTTAATTCTTTCAGCTGTGAAACTTAAATCCTCTTAGTGCGAGCTTGAATCCCGTCTGCCTTTTCTTCCATGTCTGTGTGTACATGTATGTCTATCCGAATGACGACTCACCAGTAATTTTATTTTCCCATCCAGGTAAGCCACAAGAAGAATTCCGGGCTCACACAATCCCTGACCTGTCAGCCCCTAAACGTCCCCTACCTGCTGTGCCCCTCCAGCTGTTTTGAGCTAACCCTCCTGTCAGCCCCTGTACTTGTGCAGACCTTGGCAGGGCATCCCCAGCGGAGTAACCTGACACCCACATAGGATGTGCCCCTGCTTTTGGGAAGTCACCTCTGACCTCTACAGCAGACTGTAGTTGGGAGAAGAGACAGACATGGTGTGTTGTTGGTAGGGGAGAGAGAGAGAGGACTTCGGAAAGACCAGGCTCAAATCCAGGTTAGTTTCCTACTACAAATTATACCGTTACTGTAGTAAAGTAAAGTGGGTAAGCTCAAAACATGATGCTTTCTTGTTAGCTTGTACTTCCTGGTAATACAGACGTCTTTCTGTACAAGAAAATAGTTACCCAAGCAGCTGGATAGATTTGGAAAAAACTGTCAGAAGTTTCAAATACATGTACGTAGCATCCACTACATTTAGTCAGCGACTAGCAACAGAATCTAAATAATAAAGAGACTCTTTTTACAAACACACACACACACACACACACATTAAGGTACAATTAAAAAGTGTCTCTTTAGACTTTACCGTATTCAGTGACTTATGAAACTATTCACAGACTAACAGCATATGTTCTACGTTGTACAGGTATTTATCTAAAACTATGAATTGATGTGAAATTGATGTGAATTAACAGCATTTAATTCCCGCTATTCTAGGATGGATTTTGATAAAATCGAGCAGACGGGGAAGGCGGACTTTGTCGTGCACGAGGCAGAGAAGAGATTCGCCAACAAGGCGCTGATCACGATGAACACGTTACGGCGCGGCGGTCAGCTGTGCGACGTGGAGATCAGCGTGGAGGGAAAGACGCTCTACGCACATAAGGTCGTCCTGGCGTCCTTCAGTAACTACTTCTACGCCATGTTCACAGGTATGTCTCTCATTCCTTCCATTCCATTATCGTTCATTCATTCCATTATTCATTCCTTCAGCTATTTACACTGCATATTAGTGTACAAGTCTTATACTGTTTTTATTACTTGCATCGTGGGGGGGGGGTGTACTGTTGTAGAATACATCTTGTGGCTAAATTTGTTTCTTTATTTATTTAGATTTGAAGTTTCTCAGATATTTTCCAGCATTCATTTATTAATGTGTGACACCTACACTGGCTACAGATGTGTTCGGCTATTATAATTTTTTGTTTTAGCATCATCAAAATGACACAGGAATAAGACCTCATGCATTCAAAATCCCTTAAAACATTTCTGGTTTCCATTTGAAATCGATGAAATTCAAAACCTGGTAACAATTAGAGCAGCTATTTTCATGTGAAATTAGAGAGTATCCTGTGGTTTACCACTGTAACATTCTGTTGACCAATACAGCTATAAACATTTACAGCCTGGTTTACTATAATCATAACCATTTGAGATAAACACAATATCTACTGCTATACAAGTATATACTATGGAAAATTTGTTTTTGGACTGTACATGTTGACTGGCTTATCCTACGGTAATTCTAATCTTGAGGTTCAAACCCCTCAAGCTTAACCCCTCACTGCTTAAAACTCAACTAATGATGAGAAAGTATACATATGGGAGTTGAACATACATCACTACCAGTGGACTAACCCCTTGTTGTCGTGGCCTGTGTGGCCTAAGGGGTATAAAAATGGAGATGGGCACTGCCCCTATGCATTGAAAGGTCCAAGACAGCTTGTGGTGTTCTACATCTCAGAATCTATTTCATGATAAGACACTGTTTTGCTGTCTGTAGCTGTGGCTAGTGTTGAAACATATCACAGCTGTAACATGTCTTTCTTCAATTGAGCTTGGGCTGTCTACAGTAGCATGCATCTATGCTGAGAAACATTAGCCTGGGATTCGAACTCTTGACCCTCTTGTCCACAAGTAGGCTAGGGTTGCCAGAGGACCTGCTGGGGACTTGAACCCAGAACCACTAGATTCTGAGTCAACTACCCTAACCCAGGGCCCCACTGCAAGGCAGTAGTGACACCACTAAGCTACCATATAACAGAAATAAATAAATAAATGAATAAACCAGTCATCATAGTGCCACAATTGCACATGGTATGCGACTGGAACTCAGGGTCATTATATCTGTGTTGGCCAGTATTTTGGTTCAGAGGTAGGAATGCCTGCCATAACAAACAGAACTTGTGTCAACTCATATTTGTCCTATCATAACAGTCCCATGGGGAGACTAGTAAGCCATCTGTATTAGGGAAGGGCGAAGGTTAAGGTACTGTAAGTCTTTAAACTTTCACAGTTACCCAGTCATGACTTCCGTTATATTCTTAATGATTTTGCACAGTTAAGTCATAGTCTTTCTCTCAAAAGACTATGACTTAAATGTGCAAAATATTATCAGATAGAGATTGCACATTCTTGTCTGAGGGCTAATTGCAAATAACAGGAAAAGGACAAACAAATGACATATGTAACATATGCCTACTCTAGTCTAAAAGCTGTCTGTAAATTACATCAAAGTAAAACCACTGCAAACGTTTTGAGATTTACTGTATTGAATGGAGAGCCTTAAATAGATTGTCTTTGTCATATCTGTCCCTTGTGGGAGAGTTAAGTATGTATGACATGCAAGTGGTTGATAGTGTGTACAATATATGTCACGTTTCCATGATACCCATACTTTTCTTGTCAACTCCCGTTGCTTTTGAGTGGTTGCATAGAGCTGTTTGAAATGCCACAGGGTGAAATGTTGTTATACATTCTCTGATATCTTGTAGTTACTGATACTAGAAGTACATGTGTATTACCATTAACTTAAGTATTACTATTAGGTATTAGTAGGCAGACTTGACTTAAGTCATGTGGAAGCCAAGGATTCCATACTACTCAAAAGTCAGAAATTCCTGACTTCTTTCTCTTCATTGCAAACTTCTTGCTGGTTTTGTCGCCACCTTTTTCTAAATATTTGGGAGCCCAGAACATATATGGGGGTCTGCATGGGGGTCCCAACAATGCTCTACTCTAAATTTTGAGAGCTTTCGATTACGCTTTACTTCCAAGTGGCTACAACGCATTACGTGGAATTAAAACTGCAAATATGCTTGAGATCTACGCAAAATACACCAATTACGCTCTACGTTGAATTAGAGCGGTCCGATTACGCTCTACAGAAAATGGCATGCGCACCCCCATATATTGGTGTGGACTTAATTAACCTTCTTCCTGCTGCCTAATCCCCTAACCAGTACAAATTTGGTTCAAATGGCTAGCATTGCAAGTTGATGGTTAAAATTTTTAAACTATCACACACTTATAGTACAATAGACACAATAGAGTTGCTTGTTAATGCTTCTTTCAATATTTCAAACTCAATCATTTCCATATGACCCCAGGTGACCTGGCGGAGGCTTCCCAGGGTGCCATTACCATGAAGGCCGTTGACCCCCGCAGTCTGGAACTTCTCATTGAGTACGCTTACACAGGTCAGGAACACTCAAGTATACTGTGTATAGTCACTACTGATGTATCAAAACCAAACTTTATTTCAGCTTTCCAAAGTAATACATTGTGTACATGCAGAGCTCGAGATACTTTTTTTCTGTAACATTGAAAATTACCGGTATGTCCTGCACTAGACAAGTTTTACTGGCACCAATTTAGGAAGTATGGATCACAGTAAAAACTGTCATTTGCTATTATTCCTTGCATTGACTTCATAGGTGGTAACAGTCAGTCCAGCAAATAAAAGTCCACATACACCTACATTTGTAGATAAACCCAGTACATGAACCAGTGCAGGTTAGGTGGAGGTAGACATTAGAAATACCATCACAGCTCCAATTTTACCTGCACTAACCTGCATATACCCAGTACATGGATCAGTGTACGTTTAGGTGCAGGTAGACATCAGAAATACCTGCACAGCTCCAATTTTACCTGCACTAACCTGCATATACCCAGTACATGGACCAGTGCAGGCTAGGTGCAGGTAGACTTCAGAAATACCTGCACAACTCCAATTTTACCATCACTTACCTGCATATATGTGGTATTTCGAGCCCTGACATATACACTCACCAAATTTCATGTCACAATGAAACTTTTCACCAAAATATTTGACTGAATCATAGTGAATGGCTCAGTCCTTTTCAGTCATCTAGGTCAGATTGCTAAAGAATTCCAAACCAAACCCAAGCAGCAAGGACATCATAATAAAACAGGACCAATGTTTCTGTGTAACACACAGGCCGTCTGGAGATCCATGTGGACACAGTACAAGGTCTTCTTTATGCAGCCTCACTCCTACAGCTGCCTGATGTACAACAGTCCTGCTCTACCTTCTTAAAGAAACAGCTCCACCCTGCCAACTGTCTTGGTAGGTGTCTTATACCAACTTCTTAAAAATGCAACAGTTACTGTATTTGTAGGTACATGTCTTGAATGGCTGATGACTCCAATCCTCAGCTAGATTTGAAGCTAAAAAAGGAGTGTACGATCTTCTCTTTGAATCCTTTTTTTTTAAAATATGAAGTATCATAATGAAATGGTTGCCTGTTTTCCTACAGGAATCAGGAACTTTGCGGATGCCCACACCTGCCATGACCTGCTGGCAGCGTCAGAACAGTTTGCCCAGCGCCATTTCACACAGGTGGGTAAGACAACCGGAAATTTATCATCAATATTTTTATGACATTATACAAGGAAATTTGTATATTGCAATGTAATTAGCTTTATCTGGTATGTAAAATAAAATTTTACCTTCAAATAGATGACAATTTTTATCCTTCCTTCCTTCTTCCTTTCCTTCCTTCTTCCCTTCCTTCCTTCCATCTTTCCTTCCTTTCTTGCTTTCTTCCTTCCTTTCTTGCTTTCTTCCTTCCTTCCTCCCCTCCTTCTTTCCTTCCCTCCTTCCTTCCTTCCTTCCCCCTCCCTTCATTCCATCTCTCCTTCATCTATCCGTTCATTCTTTCCTTCCATCCATGATGCATGAGAAGTTCTTGATGCTACCATGGTGCATCTCTTTTTTCACATATCCCTTCCGTCATTTCTTCTTGACCTTATTCCTTCACTCCTTCCTTCCACAGGTAATAGAAGAGGAGGAGTTTCTGATGCTGCCCAAGGCGCAGCTTGCGGAGCTCATCGGCTCTGAGGACCTGCACGTGTCCAACGAGGAGGAGGTTTTTAACGCCATCATCTCCTGGGCGTATCACGACCGGGAAAACCGCAAACACCACATAGCAGAACTTCTCAAACAGGTAAAGGCATATCATACTTTATTACTGTACAAAGGCGCCTCCTATATACACTTGAAAGAACTGCATGTCTACGGAGGAATATGCAATCGTCTCATTGGCATATCGTGACTGCGAGAACTGCAAACACCACTCAAATTGGTAAAGACTTGTTATGCTTTGTATGCTTGCCTGCTGTAGTACTGTATACATACATACAAGGTGGCAAGATGGTCTTGTGATTAGGGTTGTTGACTCAATTTACACTATTTGTTCATTCGACTCAGGTAAAATGAGCATCTAGCTTTGAGTTGGGATGTCCTCTTGCAATTGGATAGGACGTAAAGACACACCTCTAGCATGTTAAAGAACCCACCAAACTTATCGAAAAGAGCAAGGGTCCGTCAAATTCCTGGAGCAAGTGGTGCAAACCGTACACTCTGGTCTCAGGGTTGACGTCTTGAAAAGGTGATAGTCGCATGTTATGTCAATCCTTCCACAAATGTTAGTAAATGGAAAAACCTCTTTAAAAGATCATAGAACTTTTCTGAATGTTTCGCTGTAGGTTCGCCTGCCACTGTTGTCTCCTCACTTCCTGGTGGACACAGTGGAACATGAGGACCTGATTAAACAGGACCTGGCCTGCAGAGACCTGCTGGATGAAGCAAAGAACTACCATATGCTGCCGGACAGGCGGGGACGCATCAAACGGGACCGCATCAGGCCCAGACGCTCCTGTGTAGGTCAGTACAGGTGGAAATCATCAGAATTGATAGGACAACATCTGTCATGTATTGAGTTCCAAAGATATGACCACAGTAGGGGGTCGGGTATTCTCCCTGAAAACTGAGGTCATTCAGGTTGACACTAACCTGCTAGAAGATAACATGTTTTATATCATACCCGGGCCGCGATAACGTTCGATAACGGATTCCAGACCGGGCCGTACTTTACGGTACGGCCCTAACCGTGTGCATCGCTTTCAAAAATTTGAATACGGAATCCGAACGTTGGAACTGATGTTGTTGCATTTGAGGGTTTAGGGGAACCAACTTTTGGCTCATCTTGCATTGAAAGGCACATTTTCTTGGGTGGGTATGACATAAATAAAATACAACACGGTGTATTTTGCATTGCCTCTGTCTCGGCCCTCCTGCGAGCCTGCGGCCGTCGGGTGATCCGACCCGCGGTCGGGCTGATATCTCAGGCGATACCGAATACCCCGTGTATAGAGACAGTCAGACTCTGGTGTTTCATCCCTGTACATCTGAGATGCCTCTGGGTGGCAGGAAGGCAGGGTGGAGGTCTCTATCCTACAATGTACCTCCGCCACAGTTGCCTCTGCTCTGCTTCCAATGCCTAACCTTTCTCCTAAACCACCAGATACTAAAGCTACTCTACTTCTTCTGACACGAGACAAACTGAGACTGTGTCTTCCCTCTGATCTGAAAGTCTTTGCATAGCCGCATGAGTGAAGCTCATCACTTCTGATATGTTACAGTTAGTGATATTCAGTTCAGCACTAAGGAGAGGATCTGTCACAGATTTGTTGTAGACATCAGAAATCCCAGCACAGCTCCAATTTTACCTGCACTAACCTGCATATACCCAGTACATGGACCAGTGCAGGTTAGATACAGGTAGACATCAGAAATCCCAGCACAGCTCCAATTTTACCTGTGCTTACCTGCATATTCAAGCTGTATTTTCATCTCTGACTTTGACTTATTATTTGTTTTGCAGGTGTAATCTACTGCTGTGGAGGGATGGACACCACCGGTCACTCACTCAGCAGTGTTGAACGTTTTGACCTCAGCTCCGGGAAGGTCAGCATCGTGGCCAGCATGAACACACCGCGCAGCGGGGTCGGGGTCGCCGTGCTGGACGGACATGTCTACGCTGTCGGTAAGGGTCAAGGGTTAGAGGTTAGAGGTTAACTTGAACACACATTTTTCAGTATCAAGGAGAGGTCCTGTCACAGCTGTGATATAGTGAGTGAAAATTAGTTTAGCACCGCAGAGAAGTCAAAAGTTGTTGATAGTGATTTCAGCACCAAGGAGAGGTCCTGTCACATGTAATAGTTGTTGATAGTGAGTTCAGTACCAAGGAGAGGTCCTGTCACATGTAATAGTTGTTGATAGTGAGTTCAGTACCAAGGAGAGGTCCTGTCACATTTAATAGTTGGTGATAGTCAGTTCAGCACCAAGGAGAGGTCCTGTCACATGTAATAGTTGTTGATAGTCAGTTCAGTACCAAGGAGGGATCCTGTCACATGTAATAGTTGGTGATAGTTCAGCACCAAGGAGAGGTCCTGTCACATGTTATAGTTGGTGATAGTCAGTTCAGCACCAAGGAGAGGTCATGTCTCTTGTAGTAGTTGGTTATAGTGAGTTCAGCACCAAGGAGAGGTCCTGTCTCTTGTAGTAGTTGGTGATAGTGATTTCGGCACCAAGGAAAGGTCCCGTCACATGCAATAGTTGGTGATAGTCAGTTCAGTACCAAGGAAAGGTCCTCTCACATGCAATAGTTGTTGATAGTCAGTTCAGCACCAAGGAAAGGTCCTCTCACATGCAATAGTTGTTGATAGTCAGTTCAGCACCAAGGAAAGGTCCTCTCACATGCAATAGTTGTTGATAGTCAGTTCAGTACCAAGGAGAGATCCTATCACATGTAATAGTTGTTGATAGTCAGTTCAGTACCAAGGAGAGGTCCTATCACATCTAATAGTTGGTGATAGTCAGTTCACCACGTAGAAGAGGTCCTGTTGCAGATACGTTATATTTTGTGATACTCATTTTGATTTTTGCATACAAGTGTTTGGACTTTCTACCTTGTGTACAAGCTTACACAGTAGAATACAAAATGTATAAGAAAAACATAACCAAGCTGTATGCAGAAATGCTTGCACTATTTCAACATCCCCAGATTTTTGTTTATTTCTGTTTTTCTGTTTGTTTCCAGGTGGCCATGACGGTAGCCAGTACCTGAACACGGTGGAATGTTACAACCCGAGCGAGCGCAGGTGGAAGTACGTGGCGCCCATGTCCACGGCCAGGAGATACGTGGCGGTGGGGGTGATGGGAGGACTGTTGTACGCTGTGGGAGGGTACGACGGATCCGCCGTGCTGGACTGTGTGGAGGTTTACGACCCCAAATCTGACCATTGGCGTAAGTCTTCAGATTCAGCTTAACCAGGACATACATGCAGATATACTCAACACCATCTCCTATTCTCGTAATGCATTAGATTATTGGAATTGATAGTTTGTTTGTTTTTTCTTTGCATTGCTTGGCCTGACACATGTCAGCAGATTTTTTTTTAGCTGAAATCTAGAGATTCTGTGTTCAAATCCCTGACAAGCCCTGAACTTGTGCCCTTGAGAATGAAATATGAAATTCTTCACTTCACTCATGCAAAACTCATGCAAAGAATGTCCTGGAGAGCTTTTCTGTCACCTTGTTAATCAAGAGTAAGTAATAGTTTTGTGGACCAACCCTTTTGAATCATCAATTTAACATTTGTCACATTTTTGTCCTTGCCAGGTTATGCAGCTCCAATGCATTGTAAGCGTCGACATGTGGCAGTCGGGGTTCTAGAGGGTCAGATGTATGCGGTGGGCGGCCATGATGGCACGTCGTACCTGAAGAGCGTGGAAAGATATGACCCTGAAACCAGCCAGGTGTGAATTTATATCATGTTCTTCCCCTACTGCAGGTTGTTATACGTTATTGTTATATCTGTACAGATGTCAATGCTGCATTATGTAACATAGGACGATACAAAAATTAGATTTTCTGGTCATTTCTGTGCAAATCAACCCACTCCATTGCAAATAAGTGCCATTCAGGAGGTGTAGGTGCCAAAATACGATGCCTTACAAGCATATTTAAAGGCTGTATGTTTTAAGAATTTTTTATGTTTTAAAAACTATAATAAATTATTGTGGTAAACAACTTTCTAACATTAGCAGATTAATTTTGGGATTGGGAAAGATTTGTGAAACAGAATAACTGGAAAAGGTATAAACTGTTTGTAAAGATCTGTGACCAGTCTTGTTACCCTTGCCAGTGGTCTATGACAGCCAGTATGAGTGCCAGGCGCGGCGGTGTTGGCGTGGCCACCCTGAGCGGGAAACTGTACGCCATGGGAGGTTACGACGGCAAGTCTAACCTCAGTACCCTGGAGCGATACTACGCAGCAGAGGACAGGTCAGTGACCTTATAATTAGGGTATAATTAATTGAAATTCCTCATTACCAGTATCATCCTAGTGTTTGTGTGTGTGTGTTTGGATGTAAGTTAACTTTATGGTTTAGCAGCATAACTCAAAATGCTATGTATGAATCTATGTATGAATTGTGATGAAATTTGGTACGTGTTTAGGTCTTGAACTATCAATGAAATTAGATTTGGACCCCCTGGCAGCTTTCCTTGGTATAGCAGAAAAACTTCTGGTTTTGATTAAAGTCAACCTTAGTCAGCCTCTGTAGGAGAGCTTTAACCCTTTTCTCTTCAACATGTTCAAATATATTGGTCTAGGAATATGATGATAGATATTGATATTAGATATTTCAGAGACACACAGACAAGCCAAAAATAATACTTCTCTCTCTAAGTTTAAAGTAATGAAAGTAAATATACATTGTAAGTATAGAGTGTAGTAGCAGTTATAGTTACACAGAAGTATTACTACTAAAATGCATTTATCATCACTGACAGTTTTATTTCCTTTTTGTTGTTGTTTAGATGGTCGTCCGTGGCTCCTATGAACATGTGTCGCAGCGGTGCAGGGATCGCAGTCCTCGGGGAGTGCCTGTACGCGCTGGGCGGACATGATGGAGCGCACTACCTCAACACCGTGGAGATGTTCGACCCCCGCGTCGGGGAGTGGAAGATCGTCGGCAACATGGGGACGTGTCGCGCGGTGGCGGGGGTGGCCGTTCTGCACGATTGTTACGACACGACGGTCTGAAACCACAGAACACAGTGTTACAGGTCAAGTTTGAGTCCGTCCTCTCCATTAGCCAAAGACAAGGCTTAAGAAATTGTTGTCCATCTAACTGCCTACCCTGGTTTTCCATCCAAGTCTAGTGTACTTCTCTTATCGCTTCTCTTCAGAATACTGTCTGGCTAGAGTTCACATTGTAAGGTTTGGTCCTTACATCCTGCATTACGCCATGTTGATTTGATTATATGGATGACATCCGCGCGCGCATGAATTTTCGGCCGTTTCCAAAAAAAAAAAAGTTTTCAACCATACTGTAAATCGTACAAAACAGTTGCAAAATGAGCAAAGATATACCATAACTTACAAAAAAAATTAATAAAAACTATACCAATGTCGTAGAATGCCAAAATCAAACGAAAAAAGACGAAAATGTAAAGAAATGAACTTGAAGACTAGATTATTCGCCAAACCATATTCTGTCCC